GGGGTACTAGATCTTTGGCCAAAAGATAGAACAGGATCAGATTACAAAGTGTTACTGAGGTGAAAAATTCAGAAGCTGAACTGCACTTTTTCGTACGTAAAACATGAGATGACAACCTACTATGTGATAACGTATCTTTTTTATGATGGAGAAATTTGTCTGCGGCCAACCCTTAAAACCAACGCAAAACCTTCGAAACTCGGGTATAATGGGCCCGACTTTCTACCCTTCTCCACTAATACCGGGCTTAGTTGGCATGGTGCAGGGCTCGAGCCTGTTACCTAAGTCACAAGTCCCTCTACCTACTAAGTGATAACACTTGTTATCCATAAATCGCTTTCAGTGAGGATAGAAATTGTAGAGCAATATTGATGTACATGAGCGAAAAGGTTGTCTGCTTAACAGTATAATGCTTTTTATTTTTGGTTATTTTGTGTCTCCTAATGATGGAACTCTGCAGTTCTATGAACCCAACAAAAAACTTGGTGGTAATAGTTTCAAGGGGCTTCTTGTCCTTAGTCAGTATGGAATGATATGGTGTGGTTAGTAGAATAATAGCTGTATTGAATTTGCAGAGGAAGATGGACAAATCGCACACTGGTATTTTTTCTGTAAGCTTAAAGTTGTATCCAGGCAGATATGAGGTTTGTATAATCCCTTGTAACGAACTTAGTATTCAATATCACAATATATTCTGAAGTAGTGGGATCTCATTCTTTTGGCGCAGATCAAATTCATTGTTGATGGCATATGGAAGGTTGATCCTTTGAGGCCCGTTGTTCACAACAATGGTTATGAAAATAATCTTCTCATTGTCACGTAACAGCAAGTGGCAGAAAAGTTACTCTAGGGAACGGAGATTATTAACTGATCCTACGTGGTTAAGGGACTGATGTAGTATTGTTGTCGTTGTAATTACTCCAAGTAGCGATTGTCTTAGCTCAAAAATATGATCATGTAATAGGTTGCATACTAGAATGTAGTTTCCTGACATTCTTTGACGCCTAAATAGTACAGCATTTGTTTCTTGGCGGTGTAAGGCAAACATATGTTCCAAAGATCTGAGCTGATTTGGCCTATTCTTTTAAAGAAATTGATATTCTTTCGTGTATAGTGTGTGACCCGTCTATTTTACTAGTACAAATTTTGCTGGCTTGTTTGATATGCCGCTGATGTTTAAAGGACGGGAAATGGTAACCTCCTCCCTCTTGATGATGTCCGACCAAAATCTTTCTCCTATCTTAACTGAAGGTTTAGGTATCCCCACATAGAAGAAATCGCATGACAGTTTATAATACTAGAAGACACAGATGTTTGTGTGTGTGTGTGTGTGTGTGTGTGTGTGTGTGTGTGTGAGAGATTCTTGGCTCATAGTTACTCTGCTGGTAAAAACCACAACTGAACAAAGAAATTATTAAGTGCTATTAACTGAACATGGTTGTTCCGCTAGTGCCATTTAGTAATTTTAAACGAATATACATAATGACTAGAATCTTTATGTAATACTGTACTTGTAAGTTTTAGGGACTGTTTGGTTCAAAGGCAAGTTATGCAGAGCCAAAGTTATTTCTTAATCTGTTCGTTCGAAATTTTTCAAGAAAGAAGATATAAAATTGAAAGGCAATTCTTTTCATTGTTAGTTATTTAAAATATGGATGTTCATGATTCGGTTTGGATTGATTTTTCCTTAAAAAAAATAAAAAGTTTTCTTTTAGTCTTCTTTTTTTGTGTAGGTGTGAGGATGTTTAGGACAAGGCGGTTTGGTCATGTGAGGAGGAGCACAGATGCATCGGTGAGGAGGTGTGAGGTTGACATTGGAGGGCCTATGACGAGGTAGAGGTAGGCCAAAGAAGAGGCGGGGAGAGGTGATTAGGCAAGACATGACTCAGCTTCAGCTGACCAAGGACATGATCCTTGATAGGAAGGTATGGAGGTGGAGGATTAGGGTAGTAGGGTAGGTAGTCTAGAGTATTTATAACAGTAGTATTGGCACGCAATCTCTTTTACTGTTGGTAGTAGGTTTTTATGACTAACCGTTGTTTTCTTTCACTGTTGATCACCTTACTATCTTGTTGTTTTTAATCTGCTTTTATATGGCTTTTTAGTGTTGTCTTTTATTGTCTATATTTTTATTAATGTGGTGCTTATGCTTTCCTGAGCCGAGTATTTATTGGAAACAACCTCTCTATTCTCACAAGGTAGGGGTAAAATTTGCGTACACACTACCCTACTTAGATCCCACGGTGTGGGATAATACTGAGTATGTTGTTGTTGAGGATGTTGTGTTGAGGATGGAAGTTTATGCTGTTAAGTAGCTAACAATATGAGGTAAAAAGAGTTTTTCTTTTGTAAGCTTAATAGAAAAATGGGTGCATAATTGAATGCAACTTTCCAGTTAATTATTCTTCCCAATGAGTTTCTACCCTCCGGCAACATNTATATATATATATAATATTTCTAAGTATGCATTAAGATAGTCGATTTGTTTTTATATTTTCCTTAAAATAAAAATCAAACCAAAGTCAAAACCAAATCAAACTGAAAAATTATCAGTTTAATTCGATTTTTTGATTTTCCTTGAACATCCCTAATTTTAATCGATCTAGTTGTATAAGATATTCCCTTTATTAAAAAAAAAAAAGTAAAGTAGTTGTTTTAATTCATGTATTACTAGTACATGTATTTTTATTACACATTTTATCCGCGCAAAATAATACATAAAAATTCCCAATAACTTTGCAGAATTGATTATGCAAAAAAACAAAAAAGCAACCAAACACACTATTAAATCTGCTTATTCCCCAACCAAACAGGTTCTTATAACTGGTATAACTCATTTACAGAAGCTCAAAGAGACAACCATAAGATATCCTCCAATTTAAAATTTCTCAAAATCGTGCCAGAGGTGCAATGCGGAGATATTCCATGATCCTTTTATATTTTTTACAATTGAGAAACTGGAAAATTTCTGTCCTTGCCAAAGACTGCTGTAAAAACGCTTCAATTCCAAACTAGTTGGGATAAACTCTATGAATTCTATCTTATCAAGATGGCCATAAAATAGCAAACAGGTTTTTGGATAAGCAACTTGGTGAACAAATACTGTTGTGATTTGCATGTTTGCTTGGAGCCGAGAGTCTACCGGAAACAGCCTCTCTACCTGCACAAGGTAGAGGTAAGACTGCGTACACACTACCCTCCTCCCTAGACCCCTATTTGTGGGATTACACTGGGTTTGTTATTGTTGTTGTTGTAACATAGTGAACAATTACATTTTAAATCCTGAATATTGCTGTATTAGAAACTAGAATTCACCAGCATGTCCTGACAACAAATGTAAAACCACTGCCACAGTAAACTCTACCGACGCATGGTTTCCTAGATTGTTCATTGCATAAACTTACAATCTGTGGGTCAGTTTGATCATCGGTATCTCCTAATCCAAGCTGACCATGTTCACCCCATCCCCATGTCATTACTGATCCGTCATCTGTGAAGTTAAAATAGTCCAGAAATGAAGAGAGGTCAATACACAATTGATAGTTTCTCACAATAAACTTTTGCATCAGACCCTCACCTGTTACCAAGGCAGAGTGCTCAGCTCCCGCGCCAATTTGGACAACCTTTCTACTATTAAAGTCGAGGATTCTTTGCATGACAACTTCATCTTTTTGCAAAAGAAACAAAGTTATATTCAGATTAAAAGAAGCAAATTGTGAAGTGATGGAACCAATAAATAAATTTTTTTTTTTTTTAAACCACTGACTAGTTAAAGTTTAATTGTTGGTGTTAAACTTACATTAGGTCCAGGTAGGGGGATAAATGTGAGATTTAGAGAACAAACACTTCATTTTAGAGAACCCCAAATTTGCCTTAAAAGAGAAATTATTTATCAACATAGAAAATGAATGGGCGCATATGAAAGGAATGGTTATAGAGGGTCGTATAGCCGACCCCAAGTTTGTGATTAAGGCCTAGATGATTGATTTGATTAAAACCATTAAATTTTGGTAATATGAAAACAGATAGTAATGGAGAAGGCTTTGAGATCATTATATCAAGTGTTTTCAACATTACTTTCACCTTTCAACTTAATCAAGAAAGGTAGATCTATATCTTTCCTACAATGATATGTTCGCGCTAAGAGTAAAAACTATCCAAGGTGAAATCCAATCTCAAGAATCCAATCTCAAGAAGCAGGAGACAAGGACTGAGTTTCACAAAATTCTGCAGAAGTTTATACAGACATGTAATCGAAGATCATCACCTGATATATGCTTCATCGAGTTGGCTTTCTGAGTACCCGCAGGAACATTATAATTGTACCTACCAAGCATGTATACTTCCCCGTCACCTATTAAAGTGGTGTGACGAAGGTCTTTAAAATTTCCATATATTCTTGAGATTTTCCTTAACGTATTTGCGGAATGGTAATAAAAAGTTACAGCCTAAAATACCTGTCAATACAAGAGCATGATTCCATCCTAAAGCGACTTGGATGAATGATAAGTCTGCAGTGACATGACGCGGTCTGTACACATCTGAGGCTCCACAGAATGCTCTTCCCCATACGTATAAATGCCCATTCACTTAAAAAAACAATTTTTTAGCAATATATAACAGGTAAAAGAATTACCAACTTGAAAAGATTGTCATTCACTTATGGGGATGAAGCTAAAACCACCAAGTAGTGGACGCTGAGACTAGATAAAGGTTGGGGCCGGCAATTATCAGTATTGGATTATAGAATGGAGTACTCGGAAACTTACCAGATATTGCTGCACTATGATCTCCATTTGCAGCGATAATCCTGATTTTGACATTTTCAAAACCCAAAGTAACCTGAGGAGTACTAACTGACTTCTGTTTGTCATCAGATATACCGAGTTGACCACGTTTTCCAGAGCCAAATCCATAGATAAGATCCTCAGTATCTCCTAGAAGAAGTTAATTGAAGGGAAAAATCAGCTTCACCAAAATCAATGTACATGCTTATGACAATTGTGTGAACAAAGCATTGTGGTAAAATTACTTGCTTCCAAAATGATAGTATAATTTTTTAAGAAAAAACTCTAATCAACCTGCTTTCTCTATCCTAACAAGGTGATTAGAAACCAGAAATGTACCATCTCTTAGGAATATTACCTGTAACAATCAATTATTTCACACCAGAAAGAAGAAACGTTTTTCATATTATTACCTGTAACAATCAATTACAGATTTGTTGTGATTACGAGAGTAAAGAAACTATTGGCAGACCCTACCTGAATACTTTACCATGCAGTAATCTCTGGAGTTCTTATGTTAACAGGCCTGAATGCTGTGACTAGTCATAACTATCCAATTTCATTTCAAGCTTATGGCAATAACCCGTTGAAATTAAAGCTGTATAGTGCTAGCGAAAGTTTAAGAGAAGCATTCACAGAACTATCAATCTAAAGGCCCTAAACTATGACAAATTATACGAATGAGAACAGATATACAGCACACACAGTTCTATGAAATCAGCAAATTTTGTTAATATAACCAGATAAACAAAAAAATGTAAATATTAGGCCTACTTTACCTTTTAGTAAGACAAGTGAATGGCGCATACCACAAGTAATTTGCTCAACATGCTTAGTCTTGAAGTACAACACTTGTACAGGAGAACATCTTGAGACATAATCCCCATGCCCAAGCTGACCAAATGAACCATCTCCACAAGTGAATACGTGACCAGTGTCTGGTAATAGTTAAAACTTTACACTCAAAGACAAGCTAAAGGACACGCATGTAACTACGCATTATTCTTCAAGATACATACTACAATTATTCAATTCAAGGATGCAGCAAGAGCAGGGGCGGATGCACACCTAAGGAAGCGGTGTCATGCGGCACCGCTTTGTAGAAAGTTTTACTACATATATGTATTAGTACTGTGAGGAAATGGATAAGTAGGAAACAATGACACAATTTGACATAAATTATCTCTTGGTGTGTTGGCTATGTGCTTGATTTTGCTCTAAGAGGTTAGAGGTTCGAACCTCAACTAGCTCGCATATTTTTTCGCATATATTTGAGAGAGCCTCTGTTGTTAAAAATTGTGATTAAGTAGAATTGAACTTATGACCCTTTCTAACTTAACACTCAACAAAATCAATAGATTAAGGTTATTTCTTGTCTAGAAGTATGATAATTAAAGTTATTATTCTCATTCATCTATAAATTTTGACACCCCTTGGAAAAATTCCTATGTACGCCCCTGAGCAAGAGAACACAAAATTTTAAGGAAGATATTAAGCCAAAAAGTTGTACAGCTAATCTAGATGACACTAAAAGTTCATATCATCTGCTCCAGAGAGCATCAATGATTATGAGGAAAAAAACTTAAAGAGAAACTTAATGCTAGATAAAGTTCCTCCCAACTTGGCTTCAAACAAGAATAAGGGAAATTCAGCTAAAGTCGTTTTTTTATCAGGAAATTTAGGTAAAGTCGTTTATGCACACCTAGTGTACCATAAGCATATCGGAATTACTCCTCCCTTCCACTTTTGTTTGGCATATTTCCTTATTACTCCATTGCAAAAAGAATGACTTTCCTTACTGAGAATCTTTTATAACCACACAAATGTTATGGCATGTTTAAGAACACAAGCTTCACAAGTTTTATAGCCACATAAATCTTATGGAATATTTAAGGCCACAAGTTTCAAAAGTTTTCCTTTCATTATTAAACTGCGTGCCAAGTTAAACTATGATAAACAAAATGAAACAAGAGTAAACTATGACAAACAAAATGAAACAGACGGAGTAACTTTTGAAACAAAAAACACATGAAGTTTTTTGGAATCTTAAGTGCATAAACCTTCACTTTCAATAGCATATAAGAATAAAGCCTACATTAGAACTAAGAAGTACGGCAGCTTCACAAGCAGAAACCTGAGAGCACGAAGAATAATAATCCAACCTAAAGTCTCAGATTAGATAAGCACAGCTGAAGCAGAGAGAAAGAAACCTGAAACAAATCCTGAGTGATTCCATCCAGCAGAAGCTTGTGTAATAAAGAACCCTTCCAAAGACTCCACATACTTTGGGCGTAAGCAGTTAACCATCTCCCCATGACCTAATTGACCAGAAGTACCCCTTCCCCATGTTACCACTCTTCCACCTGCAAAACCTCAATAAATATGTTTTTTTTTTCCTTGAAAAATTGAATGTCACGCCAACATAGTATCTTTACTGCAAAGCACCAGCAAGCTTGTTCCTATTTCTTTTCCTGTTTTTTTGGTTTTTTTTTTTACAAAGTGAATTTTGTTTCCTTTTTGTGAAAGATCCAAAATTGTCCATTGGTTCTCACACCAAGATGGTGTCATCTAAACCCCATCAAGTTTTAAAAAGAAAACAAAAAATCCTCCATTGAAGCTCACATCAAGATGGTGCCATATTTATTGCAAACTCCATCAATTTTCTTTTATTTTTTTTTAATAATCTGTCCATTAAAGCTCACTCCTAAAATGGTGTCATCTTTACAGCAAAACCATATCAGCTTTTTCTTTTTTCCCTTTTAAAAAGTCAAAAAAAAAAAAATCTCACACCAAAAAGGTGTAATCTTTACTGCAAAACCTTAAGCCCCATCAAGTTAAAAACACATTAAAGTCAGATAACACACAGGGTGAGAGCAATTGAATCTCCCACCAAGATGGTATCTCTACTGCAAAACCCTATCAAGTTTTTCTTTTAATAAAAAAAGTAAAAGTCTTTCCATTGAATTTGAATGTCACACCAAAAAGGTGTCATCTTTACTGCAAGATCTTAAACCCCCATCAAATTGAAAACACATTAACAGTCAGATAACTAAACAGATAAAGAAAACTGCAAATTGGAGAGTACATAAGACAACAGACCATATGAAGTTTTTCCTTTTTGATTTTTTAAAAGGTAAAAAATCTTTCTATTGAACCTCAGACCAAAAAGGTGTAATCTTTACTGCACCTTAAACCCCATCAAGTTGAAAACAAATTACAGGGAGATAAATACACAGAACAAAAAGGAAATGGCAAATTGGAGAGTAGATAAAAGTGCAGACCAGGAGTGAGGGCAATGACATGGGCACCACCACAGGAGAGATAAGAGATGGGACCTAAAGAAGAGAGAGAATGAATGAGTTGAGGTTGGTATTCATCTTGGAGTTTTCCTGTTCCTAATTGTCCCTCTGTTCCTGCTCCCCAGCTCCATATTTCTTGTTTTACTAACCCTTCTTTTTCTTCTTCTTCTTCTTCTTCTTCTTCTTCTATTACTCTTTCTGTTTCTTCCATCATTTTGGACATCTGATCAATCTGAGTTCCTAAAAACTGACGGTTTTGTTCCTCTCTTCTCTTATTAATGGAACTTCCTTGCCAACTTTGATTACCTTTCCAGGTTCTATATTCACATTTAAGTACCACGGTCAAATTATTTTAATTTTTAGTGTATATTCAAATACGATATTTTGGTAAGTACTACTAGCTATGAAATTCTTTTATCATAATTTTTTATAGTTAAAAATATTTTCAAATATTAGTAATCAAAGAAAAAGTAGTCGGATTGGTCAATTTTATCCTTTGTGTGTGGGGTCTATTTATATTATTGGTGATAACAAAATAGAGTTTTTAACCAAAATTGTCCCTTATATTTTGGGTAAGTTTAACTTTGTTTAGTCCACTTAAGAGTTTTTAGCCAAAATTATCCCTTATGTTTGGGTTTGTCCTTTATCTATTGCCCTCAACACTTATTGTCTTTTAAGTTTGTTAAACTTGAGCAGGTTTAGTCTTCTTAACAAAAGACCCAAACTAGTGGGTAAAAAAACTTTCGGTACTCAAATTTTCAGAATCGATGTAGTGAACCTAAACCTGTTTAACGGGCCGGGTTGACCCGGTTACGGATCGGCCCGGTGGAATGGAGTCGGGTAGGGTTGGTTTTTGGGGGTTAGGGGGTTGGTCCGTATATATTTTTTTACCGGTTAACCGAATTGGTCAAACCCGGTTAATAAAAGTTACTTTTAAACCGGTTAACCGGACCGGACCGACCCGGTTCAACGACTATTTATTTATTTATTTATTTAAATTATCACACTTATTTCTACAATCTTAAATGTGACAAAGGGGTGGGCCAATTTTTCATCGGATGGGCCCGGACTAGTTAAGCCTGATTTTAAAAACTTGGCAACCGACCAGGATTGGTGGCCGACCGGTCACTATTTTTCTCAATCGGACCAGTCCGGTTAACCGGTTCAACAGTAATTTTCATTAACCGGGTTTGACCGGTCCGGTTAACTAGTAAAAAATATATACGGACTAACCCCCAAACCTAGCCCTACTCGGCCCAATTCCACCAGTCTGGGCCGATCCAATTTACTACCGGTCTAGGCCGGTCTGGAACCGAGTTAACCCGGCCCGTTAAACATGTTTAGGTTCACTACATCGGTTCTGAAAAATTTGAGTACTGAAAGTTTTTTTACCCACCAGTTTGGGTCTTTTGTTAAGTGGACTAAACCTACTCAAGTTTAGCAAACTTAAAGGACAATAAGTGTTTAGGGCAATAGATAAAGGACAAAGTTAGACTTACACCCAAACATAGTAGACAATTTTGGTTAAAAACTCTAACAAAGCATCTCATATATTCCCTCTTACCATTAACAAAACTTATAGTTTGTTTGGTGGAAAAATCATCTTATTTTGATAAAAAAAAAAAATTAAAAATGCTTATCAAAAAAATAATTTTGGAGAAAAACAGTTTGTGTTTGGCTAATCAATTTGAAAAGCACTTTTGAACAATAATTTGTGTTTGGCCAAGCTTTTCAAAAAGTGCTTTTATGTGTCAAATTACAAATAAGGACATGAGGAAATTTGCTTAATAGTTAATATTATATAAGTAGATACATAATTATAATTTTTTATTATTAAAGATAATAATTAAGTTTTTTTATTTTATTTAAGTAAAATATAAAAATAAAATTGAAAAGTACTTTATTCTTTCAAGATAATTTAAATATATCAAAAAGCATCCAATAAATATGAAAGTTCATCCCAAAAGTCATTTTATATTACTTAATAGTTTAAACTAATGTTAGGATCGAGAACCCGAGTAGTGCGGAATTTAGCCAAACAACGGTATAATGATAATAACAAAGACAATTGAAATTGATAACAACGTAATACCCTAAGGGAATAACCTCACAAGATCACTCCAAAGAAAGGGTTCACACAAGTGTTTCCCAACACTTAACTCTCATACAAAACACTCTTAATAAAGGTAAAAAGGAAGAAACAAAAAATGAAGATTCAAGTCTTGTTGGTGTGTCTAAAATGAACTAATGACCTTCCCTTTTATAGGCAAAAAAGTCTTGGCCTCTTAGGTGTAAAAGAAGAGATACAACTTGTGCAAATGATATCCACCACATAATGCAATATTTTTGGGTCCCAAAGAATATTGTCAACAAAGTCTACACTTTGCAAAGATACTTATGCTTATGTGAGATGAACTCCATTAGCCAAAATATTGGCCTAATTTTGGCTGATATAGTAAATTTTCTCCACTTTTTCCGCAAAAGCCCTAATGGGCATATGTCAAAATTTAATGCTATCAGTCTGATACCAAAACTGTAGTAAGGCTTATAACAGTGGATCCCAATAAAGTATACAATGAACCAGATCTGTGTGCTTTCATGATCACAAGAGCACCATGAGAAACTTTCAGAACTCCACCTTCACCCGTGTACTTGTACCCAAGAGATTCTAGAGTACCCAAAGATATGCGATTTTTCTTCAAGTTAGAAACATGTCTAACGTGAGTGAGAATTCTCACCACACCATCGTGCATTTTGATTCGGACTGTACCTTTTCCAAAAACTTTGCAGGCAACATTGTTACCCATCAAAACAACTCCACCTCCAATAGATTCATATGTGGTAAATAAATATCGATTGTGACACATATGATAAAAAAAACCCGAATCTAAAATTTACTCATTGTTAGATTTGAAACTATTATTAGTTGCTAAAAAGTAGTTCCCTCAGTCTCATCATCAGCTACACTTGCTTCGGCAGTGTCAGTATTTTTGTGCTCATTTTTTCTTTCTTTATGTTTTTCTTTATTTTTCAGTTTATAGCATTCAGAGATAATGTGATATTTCTTATGACAATAGCGATACTCTAAATTATTGTATCTAAATATGGAGTCGGATTTTCCCCTAACAAACAAGCCAACTTCCGCTTGAGTTCCACTAGCTTCCCTAGTAATATCACTATCTATCTATTCTTTTGATTTTAAGATAGATTTAATGTCCTTATAAGAGATATTATCCATTGCATAAAGCATAGTATCTCTTATATGCTTAAAAGATGGGGGTAGAGAACAAAGCAATAACACAGCTTGATCCTCATCTTTAATTTCAGCATCTATATTACTCAAATTCATAAGAATGGAATCAAAGATGTCAAGATGAGAGAGAATGGAGATACTTTCACCCATACGAATTGTATAAAGCTTTTGCTTCAGGTAAAGTCTGTTTTTCACCTTCCTCTTCATATATAAGGTTTTCATTTTTTTCCACATGCCTTTGGTTGTGGTTTCTACAGAAACTTCACGTAAAATCTCATTTGAGAGATTTAAAATGATACATGTTTTTGCCCTTTTGTTTATGACGGCAAACTCCTCATCCGTCATTTTATCCGGCTTCTTTTCATTTCCTTGCAACGCCAAGTCTAAGCCATCCTGAATTAGGATAGCTTCCATATTTAATTGCAATATTTCGAAGTTTGCATTTCGGTCAAATTTCTCAACATGGGTCTTTGTTAGATTCATTTTGGCTATTGAAACTAACCCAGTTAGATCTGGTTCTGATACCAATTTGTTAGGATCGAGAACCCCGGGTAGTGCGAAATTTAGCCAAACAACGGTATAATGATAATAACAAAGACAATTAAAGTTGATAACAACGACAATTAAATCATATAAAGAAGACACCAATTTAACGTGGTTCGGTCAAAGTGACCTACGTCCACAAGCGGAGAGGAGCAATTTTACTATACCAATAAGAGTACAAAAGAGAGTACAAAATTAGAGTAAATACTCTAATTAATCCCAAATACCCTAAGGAAATAACCTCACAAGATTACTCCAAAGAAAGGGTTCACACAAGTGCTTCCCAATGCTTAACTCTCATACAAAACACTCTTAATAGAGGAAGAAACAAGAAATGAAGACTCAAGTCTTGTTGTGTATCTAAAATGAACTAATGACCTTCCCTTTTATAGGCAAAAAAATTTTGGCCTCTTAGGTGTAAAAGAAGAGATACAACTTGTGCAAATTATATCCACCACATAATGCAATATTTTTGGGTCCCAAAGAATATTGTCAACAAAGTCTACATTTTGCAAAGATACTTATGCTTATGTGAGATGGACTCCATTAGCCAAAATATTGGCCATAATTACAACTAAGTAATGTTATTTTGGTATATACTATAATATTTTGCAAAGGGTATTTTTGGTAGGAAGAAAAGTCAAAACTGCTTCTGCTTCTGCTTCTGGAGAGAAGCTATTTTTTCTGCTTCTTCAAAACTGTTTCTACTTCTAGCCAAAAGCACTTTTTTTAAAAAAAAAAAACTTGGCCAAATACCTCAAATTGAGGAAAAAACATTTTTTTGAAGAAAAAAAAAACACTTTTGACCTAGTGAGTAGCTTGGCCAAACATGCAGTTAGTGTGAAATGAGTGAATTTTCGGATAAAAAGTTCAAATTTACCCCTCAAATTTTATTATGATTCAAAATTATTTAGGTTAGAGCTTTGTTAGGGGTCAAGGGCGAAAATGAGACTTTTCCTAACGATATGATAATATTAAACCAAAAGTCTAACGAACGTTAAAATTGCTCAATTTCAACTAGTACACGATAAATTTGACCATTTTCCCTTTTTAAAATTCATCATAATTCAAAAGTTGGGATTGAAAATATCTTTAACTATCGACACGAAAGTACATCCCAACGACGATTTATTCAGTTGTTGTAGGAGTATAGACAAATGTACTGTTTTCAGGCGAACTAATTAAATAGCGAAGAGTATATTACGTATATGAAGTTGTTGAAGTTCTTTCCTTACAATAATTTCATACTTCAGGAAAATAAGATTCAATAGATTAATTATAGTTCCAATTGATCTTTAGAGATCAAGCATATCCCCTTGATGAATTGAAATGGAAATGATGAAATTTGAGAAGTGGCGAGAGTTTTATTCATATTTTTTCTAACCACAAGGTGTCAACAAACTTCCTAACCAGTTTTTATGAGTTTAGTGGCTTTACTTTTGTTCAAAGTATGTATGTATGCATGTAGTTCAAATTTGTATAAGTTTATTGGCTTTACTTTTGTTCAAAGTACGTATATATAAACTTTCACTATGAAGAGTATCAAGAAACCAGAAACCAGTGCTAGCTCGTTGTGTATTGGTGGATTGTCGGAAAATAGAACAGATCTCACTTCAAGGCATGATACCAGGTTTAATTATCTCACAGAGACCATCCAAAGATTGCGATGGGATTGTAAGTACCCGTCCATTCTTAACCAAAAGTCTAAAGTTCGAGTTCTAAAAATAAAATTGCCTTTGTAGAAAGTGCTCGGATGTCGGGCCGAAAGCTGGGCCGGGACATCGGCAGGAGAGCCAAAAAAAAAGATCGTAGAGGAAAAATGAGTATCAGCTCATATACTTGGAAGTACAGATTTTATATTCCAAAAATAAATAAGGGATTCAAATAAAGTTTCGAGCATTGAAGATATACCTGCACTACCCGGACTTCTTGATCAGTGACAAATACGGAATATCCAGGCTCCTCTTTGACTTATAAACAAAACTACTACATTTATTAACAACAAAGATTGGCCTAAAGCTAAGAACTTATTGGACATTCACTCGGAAACTTGGGATAGCACCAGGAAATGTGAAGGTTGCTTAAAGCCGATCAACCAAAAAGAATCAACTAGTTTAGTTTTGGTCTGAGTTGGCTTATAATAAGGACTACCTTAGCCCGGGAACTGTCCTGGCCATCCTTTGTTTGTGGTCTACATTCCGGAATCAGCAAAAGACAGCTCTCCTGCAACTATGTAATTAACATTTGGCTCATCAGATTCCACTTCACAGTTGCAGGCTTCTGCAGACTTGCAGTAAGATAATCCCCAAATAGGAGTACCCCATGGTTGAAGTGAAGTTACTTTGAATTTTAGCAACAATACCACTTGCATCTGACGATTTTTCAACACTAAATGTCTCAGCACGAAAAGAAGCATCGGTGTTCATTTATGCTTTATACAATCAGCTGAAGAAGATTGCACGGGCAAAGCGCTGCTTGTGAATCTCTGAAAATACATAGCAATCAACACAACTTTGTCAAGAGGAAGTACCTCTTCCGCATGAATCCCCCTAGATGTCTAATCCTCCCTACTTTTGCATAGATACCACACAATGACATTCTTCTTCTTTTTCCTATAAAGTAACATCAATTTCTATTTTATTTTGATAATAATGGTGTATGTGCCAGCTTGCGCGCAATTCAGTAGTTCCACCAAGTACCTGCTACCTCTTACTAGCACAGGTACCAGTAACTCTATCCACCAAAACCTATGAAATAGGAAAGAAACCATCTAGTTCTTTTGCATCTGCTAGAATTGGAAGCGCTGGTCTCCCCTGGTATTCTATCTAATGACATTATGATCATACTAAGAGCCACCAGTTCACTCTCATTCTTGCTAGAAAAAGATTGAGCCAATAAAAGCATCAACACACTTATCCATCTCCAACCAGTCAATTTCTAGAGGTTATTATATGTCGCAAATTTATAGAATAAGTACTCCATTATCCCCTCAGTCTTACCACAACAGGGTCAAATAACATCAACATCCAATTGATCTCTCACATATTCATGTCTTACAGTTTAAGATGACTTGATATTCACTCAAAGTTTAAAATTTTTTAACCGTGACACCCTTCCTTATCCCTGATTCTCCAGTTCATTCCCAGAGAATGCCCTATACTGATCATACCCCTGTTGAGCAAAGGACGTACAGTGATTTACCTGAAAATTCTTCTGATTGATGGTAACGCAACTCCTTATACACAAAAATCTGCAAAAGATCAATAGCAATCTGCAGCATAACAGAGCCAGTCAGATTATATTCCTCTTTTCAAGTTATCTTGCAATGCACCCTCCCAGCTAAATTGGTACAGTTGCTGCAGGATTCTCTGGAACAAAACACTGAAAGGATCATAAAACATTTATACTTGAAACAAAATGACGTTTCTTCCTATGAAAAAGTAAAAAAATTACCTAACTTGCAACACAGCAAGAAGTTAGGAGGGGGAGGCCTATATAGAACAAAAAAAAAACTGTAATCAAGCATCATCTTCATTTACATCATATGATACTGTTCAGTAAATGAGTATGAAACTATGAGAAAGCGGCAGTTGCTAGGATTCAAGATGGTCCTCTTATCATTTTTTAATGTACAACATAAAAAACAAAATCAACTGCTTCGACTCTCCTAAGCACACAATAACAAACCTCTGATTCAACATTTACAGACATCATGCAGACTCTCATAACTCATCACCCATAAGGTAGGGTACAACAACATTTTGTCATAGTCAACTTCAAAATAGCAAGGTCTCAAGGCGCCATCAAGAGTACCATCAGTACGTACCAAATAAAATAATAAACATACGGTGAATTAGCCCTACAAGATTATGTAGAAAGTGGCTGCTTGTTGCAAACTGCACCTGCCTTTTTATATATGACACAAACTAAAAGCCACGACAGGAAAAGCGGATTCTTCTACATCCCCGTTGCAGCTGGACGATCCAAAATATATAATGTGAAGCTCATCAGCGGTGCCAACTTCTTCCAAGTTGTATGCTGCAAGTACAACTATTGAGCAACCCAAGAATAGTAACAACATCAATCTTTTGGACAAAATCCAAATCAAGGAACAGTGTCTTATTTGCTAAGACAGAAGCATATATGAATTACATATTCAAATAATAAAAACTTACGTACATCATTATATCTAAGGCTTGTATTACACAGAGAAGGAAAAACAAACAAGATCTGAACCTTACTGAAAACACATTTAGAACTGAAAATCACCCCAACTAATCTGCAATAAAAACTCAACCTTTTACCTAACCTCATAAATAAAAGCTCTAATGTTACTTGAGAAAGCCATATCGCTAATGTTACAAGTGAGGCAATCCCTCAATAACCATGCCCATAAGTTACAGAATATCATCATAGGCAACAATTTCCCTACCCTTGTACGGCTCAACCAGCCTTGTACTAACATGTCCACGACCATTATCGCCAGCATTATCAGGCTCAACCAGCCTTGTACTAACATGTCCACGACCATTATTGCCAGCATTATCATTATCCTCATCTTTGGGGTTCACAATTGCTGATCCCAGTCTGTTACCTCTCCCGTGCCTACTTAGTGGCACCTCTGCTCTAACTAGCTTCGATGCAACCGTTGATGTGGATAGATCATCCTTTCGCATCACGCCCTCCTTCCACTGTGGCACACGGTCAGTTGCCCATATTACCTGAACCTGTCATCCCCAGCAAAAGCAAAGTAAAATATATATAGCAGCTCTCAATTCTACTATCTCTATACACTGTCACTGTAAACAATTTTCAGAACTGTCAGGTCACAAGTTACAGATCCGAGATGGTAATTAACATGCTACAACCTGTTAAACTACTCTGATTGTGCAAAAACTACTTACATTGTCCATGAATTATATTAAAATCCATACAATTATACCAACTAAAGTGATACTCACATACCAAAATTCTTAGTCTCAAAAAACCAAGAATTTAACACCAAAAAAGTTGCAAACTTGGCAAGAATTTCTACTTTTAGGTGTGCAAAAACTACTTACATTGTCCATATATATAATTAAATCAACACAATTATACCAAATAAAGTGATACCCACAGACCAAAATTCTTGGCCAAGCTGAGATTTAGTATAAATTATAGAACCATGGATTCAACTAGACATCTTAATATCAAAAGATCAAAAAGCACCAATAAAGTTGCAATCTTGGCAAGAATTTCTACTATTAGAAGATATAACNCATATATATAATTCAATCAACACAATTATACCAAATAAAGTGATACCCACAGACCAAAATTCTTGGCCAAGCTGAGAGTTAGTATAAATTACAGAACCATGGATTCAACTAGACATCTTAATATCGAAAGATCAAAAATCAACAATAAAGTTGCAATATTGGCAAGAATTTCTACAATTAGAAGATATAACTTTAAGAGAAAAAGAGTGCATACTGGCTTGGAGTGGAGAGTAATGGGGAAAGAGGAATCTACAGCAGCATTAACAGCAGACTGAGCAGAATCATAGGAACGGAAAGTGATGTAAGCGAGACCATTGGGGTCCATACGGGTGCGAGAGATGGAACCATAAATCTCAAAACGAGATTTAAGGTCAAGAACAGAGCAATCAGTAGGAACCCCAATAACCACCACACTACCGGGTTGCTGCTTGGCGGTGGAAGATGAGGTGTTTTCTGGTAAAGGGTCGTCGGAGACGGCGTTGGTTGGTAGAGGACGGCGGCGCTTGGGAAAGGAATAAGGGACGTGGCGGTTGAAGTGGGTTCTGTCTCTCTTCCGACCCATGATTTTTTGGGTTCTACTTGGACTTCGTGGTGTACAAGTTTAAGCTGCTATGAGAAGTACGAAAGAGATTTGGACTGTTTATTCCTTTTTTTCAGTTCTGTATAAATCCTTCTCAATCTTGGTTTGGTTTGGGGATAGGTTGTACACAAGTTAAATTACTATCCCGGTCCATTTTAAGTTATTTTTTTGCCCTTTTTTATGGTACATAATATCGATTTTTTTAGATATCAAATTAACTTCTTCTTTTTTAAAGTTCACATTTAAGTAAAAAGCCTAAGAGTAATTTGTTATATTTTTTAATGAGCAAATTAAGATTGATATGGTCAATTTAATCGTTAATTAATGTTAAAAAGAGCCAAAAAAGTGAACCGGAGGGAGTAATACTCTTTCCCTTTGATTTTATTTTATTTTATGTATTTTAGTTTGACTAAATAGAAAGTTTAAAAGTGTAAAGAAGAATTTGATCTTATAAGTAGGGGTGGGCATAGTTTGGGCAAACCTAAATCCGAACCGAAATTCGAACTTTTTGAATTTTTGGTTTTGATTTTTGGATTATGGATTGAAGTTCGGATTTTATTTTTAAAAAAAATAGATTTTGGATTGGATTTTGGATTTGGGACTTCGAAATTTTGGATATACGAAAATCCGAAAAAAAAAAATTACCTTATATTTAGCCTTACCAGATAGACATTAGCCCATTACGGCATTATCCATATACATACCTAATACTAGTAAGTCTAAATCTCTAATAGTATCATGTCCATTAAACATTAGCTTGTATATTCAATACAAGGTTTTCTTTTCTCTCATGTCTCACCCACACAGCCACACCATACATGCGTTTGTAAACACTAAAGAGTCAAGGCCGAAGTTGACTAAAGATTGAAGTTTGAGGTCACATTTTTCAGTTAATCTTTTAATTTATAATAGTATTATTTGAATTAGTGTGATGTATTGCATATTCGAGACCTTTTTTCTTGAATAGGCATTATATAGAGTCGAGAAGATATAAAAAACTAAAGCATCTTTTGATTATTATATTTTTACTTCATTTAAATGATTATTTTTATGTCGAGTATTTTCCATAAGCTCAACTTATAGGCTTAAAACTCAGAACCGAAAATTCGAAAAATCTAATCTGATTCATCCGAAATCGAACTTAAATAATCTAATCCAATCCGAAATTATTTGGATTGGATTTGGATTGTAATTCTTCAATTTGAAAACCAAAAATCCAAACCGCAATTTCATATTCAATCTGAACTGCCCGAACGCCCACCCCTACTTATAAGGAAATATACATTGGAAGAAAAATATACTAAATATAAACATGTCATATTTTTTTAGACACACTAAATAAAATTAAGACACATAAACTGAAATGAAAAAAGTAAATAATAATTAAGTACATAATTATCTACATTTGTAGAAGATTTGATTGGTTAGGGCACAACTTGCTGAATAATTTAAAAAGTTTGCTTTTTTGAATAAAGGTTTATTTCTAATAATGCTCCGAGTCCATTAACAATACCTTATCTCATATAATACTTGGTTCATCTTATGTAATATTTGATTTATTATCATAAGAGTTACCACAATTTAATGCAATCTTTCTTTAAATATTCAAGTTAGTTATGTTTGACCAAGAAATATAATCTCAGGTTAAACTGTTATATTTATATAATGAAGGGTTAAACCTAGTTAAGGATAATAACTTTAGATAGTAAGCACAAGGATGCACGATGGAAAAAACATAGTTTGCATATGATTAATGACAATAACTATAAAATTTTCTTACCACTAGAACATTAAATGAGACATATCTAGCAATAAATGTTAATCAATGGCATTTATAATAAGGAGAATAATTCACCCGATAATTAGTAGACAAAGAGAATATTATGCCTGACAGTGACGAATGACAGATAGATCCAAGATTTTTGGATCTAATGGAAACGTGGGAAATAAAATGAACAAGAATCTTTATAAAAAGGTAGTGTTTGCGCCCTTTTCAAAGAGAGGGTCTTCTTCTCCAAAAGTGTTCTTATCAAAATGAGAATTATCCCCCCCCCCCCCCCCCCCTATCTCTTTTTCTATTTATATGGGACATGTCCCCAGTCAACCCTAAAAGGACAAATACAGAGAATATTCAACCCTAAATATCTTATTACAAAAACTAGCCGTTAGTATTGTTCTTGATACTTGACCTCGACAGTTATTGACCGCCTGGCCACGAGCTCCACTATTTACTAATCGACCTCTGCCACATCATTTTCCGTAAAACCACTTCATGCTAAATTCCCTTAGGGCAGATTTTGACCTATACAGTTTATCCATCCGCTTATTGGGGTCGACCCTGGACGACCTTGATGAGCAAACTCTGTTAGTTATGGCTGAGAAGTTTGGGCGAGCAGGTCGAGTAGTAGCATTTTAGATTAGGTGGCAACGTGGCCTTCCGTGAGCCTCAACCTAGGGTCATGTCGATTTAGATTTTAGAGTGACGTCATGTCATCATGCGTCATCATTACGCTTTCTCCCGATACCTTGCGTTATTTTTCGTGCCTCTATCGTTTCGATTCCTGAGTTGTGTAACGACGACTTGCTTTCTCGATATTGATGCCTGAATTATTATAAATAAGGATACATAATCTTTTGCCTTATTCTTTGCAATCTAAATATTGAATTTCCATACCTTCTTCTTATTTTTTCGTTCAGAATCCTTGCCCTTTTGATCTTACTGCCATATTTTTCTTTCACTGATTCTGGTGGCTTCTGCTACCCTTGACTCTTCTGTATTTACACCTCCTTTATTCGTAGACAAAGATGGTTAACGTGTCTTCCAGTTATGGGGGGTAGCTGACCCTGTTCCCTTGGCGGTGCGTATGTCTCCCCATGAAGATGGGGTTGCCATTGTTACGGAGGATGAAAGCTTTCCTACGATGGAGAAAATAATCCCTTGTAGAGAGAAGGCTAGATCTGACTTTTCAAAGTTGCCCGAGGATGACCCTGAGGCCTCGAAATCGATGATGGATGCAGTTGCTCTTGCTAATTTCAGGGTGAAGTTCAAAATTCTGGCCCATATCGACCTGGTCCCGGCCAGTCGCGACGTTGTGCAGATTTATCTCCCCGGATACAGCGCATTCTCCGCGTATCCGTTCTATGTAGGCTACTATTTTCCCCCTCTCCCATCGGCGGAGGAATTTTGCCGCTACTACGTCATCTATTCGGCCTAACTTTCACCTTACATCTACAAACTTATCCGCATGTTGACGAAGTACGCGGAATTGGCCGGCCGTGAGGTCTCCCTTCGCCACCTGATGCACCTATTCGCGCCTAATTTCTATAGAGGAACGATGTTGTATCGTCGTCACCTAGGAAGTAAGAGTTTGGTAGTGAAGATGGACGATAAAGCAAATCATCGATTATGGCTTAACTACTTCTACGTCAAGACCGAGGACGTGGTGGCAAATGCGAATGGATTTCCTGAGGCATGGAATTATGCCCTTAAGTATTTTTTACTAAGCGTTTATTTTGCTCATTTTGATTGTAGCCTAACATTCATCCTTTTTCTTGTTCAGTTGAGACTTCGCCCCCTCCTTTGGTTGCAGATATTCATGACTGATTAGCTAGGTCTTGCCTCATACGGTGGGGATTCCTGAATGGTCGGCCTTTATCAAGAAGTTCAGGCCCAAGCTTTCGGCGACCGATGAGTTTGCCCATTTTGAATCTTTATTGTCGTGGCCTTCTGTTCGCTTGTTCCTTATTGTTTTGTGGGGATCGACCTCTTAATCTTCTTTTTCTTTTGTTTTTAGCCCGGGGATCCTCGAGGAGGTCGAAGGCCCCTACTCCTGAATTTCGCTAGATAAACACTACGACGGGGTCTGCCCCTACTGTGACTGTGGCCAAGCTTGCCCGACTATCCACTTCTATTCAACCTCCGGTTTTGGCTAGATCAGCTCGATCATCGACAACTTCAGTACCAGAGACTCTGGCCTCTCCCTTGCTTCATTCACCGAGCGAGGAGGATTTGGTCCCTCATAAAATGAGGTTAGTGGACGTCGGTGATGGGATAATCCGAGTCGTAGATTCTACAAGTAACGATCGCGAGCCAGCCTCCGTTGTGCCTGATGACGGTGCAAATCTTCAGTCTAAAGTTTCGCCATCAGCGGAAGCCACAAAGAGCATGCCCCTTCCTGATGCCAACGTCGGAGTTGGTAGAGCATTCATGGAGGTTCTGGATACTGTGTGGCGAGATATGCCATCGTCCTCGCGGTTAGTTGATGTTCCTACCCCGTTTACCGCTAAGAGAGGTAAGGGGGTTGCTGAGTATGGTTACGAGACGGGCTCCGATATAGACCCTGATGAGGTTAGGATGATGGGAGAAGGACTCACCCAACTCGAGGTGAGATTTGAGGGAACCGCGCGGACCATTGTGATCCCTTTGGACCAGGATCTATAGTTGATACGGAGGATGTGGTCCCTTCTCTTGGTCCCCTCTGTTTCGATGTGGAGGGTAAAACCCTCGAGAAACTGAAGGACTCCATATTGTCGAGGAGCATAGTCGGCCTTGCTCTTAGGGTAAGTTAGGAATTTTATTTGTATGTTCCTTCATGTCGAATCCGATTTTATTCTTACTCGCCCTGGTTTTCTTTTCAGATCGTGATCTTGGAGATTGAAAGCTCCCGCCGAAAGGAGAGTCAGAAGGCCATTTTTCGAAAGATGGAGCAGAAATATTGCGAGTATCATGATAAGCACCACTAGCTTTGCGGGCGTCTTGATGGGAGTAGCAACTTCCGGGCTCTCCGAGACGAGCTAAAGGAGAAGGATGATGAATTGGTGAAGGTCATCGAAAAATGTAGTGAGCTCGAGGGGGAGTTGAAGGACAAAGAAGATGAGCTCAAGGTAAGCAGGGGAGTCGAGGACCAATGCGCTAACCTTCAAGCCCAAGTGATCTCGCTGCGGGTCGAGCTCGAAGAAAGTCTAATCAAGTTGTATGCTCTGGGTGGTGAGCTCATCGAGAGGATAACGGACTTAGAGAAGTCAAAATCATATCGGTTGGCGGCTTTGAGGAAAGTAAAGGCATATGAGGTTGTAATCCGCGTTCTTCGTTCAGAGCGAGCGAGTGAT